ACCAGGTACCTTAGCCCTGACTACAGCTGCTGTGCCTATTTGCTAGAGCAGGTTTCTCTGGCCTCAGGTGCAGGCTATGCAACCACTGATTTGGCAAATGTGTTCTTTTCTATCCCAATCAGATAGACAGGGACAGAAAAAAATTAGCATTTACGTTGAGTGGACAACAATATACACTTAGAGTTTCCCCCCAGGGTTATGTTTCCTATGCTATGTCATAATATACTTTGAAGAGATCTGGATATCTGGACATACTGCAGAGTATCATATTGCTCCACCACTTTGGTGGCATTATATTAATGGGCCAGATGAACAAGAGTAAACGGAAAACTGGTGGCTTTGGTAAGGCACACACACTCCAGAGGGAGCTCCGTGAAGATTCAGGACCTTCTACATGCATGAAATTTTGAGGAGTCCAGGCATTGGGGCAGGACGACTCCCCTCCAAAGTGAAAGATACACTATGGCCATCTCACATCTACCACAAAGAAAGAAGCCCACCACCGCGGGGGTTCTGCAGGTTCTGAGCCTATCATACACCTGGGGATACCACTGCAGTCTACAGCAGGAGAGGCTGACAGCTCTGAGTGTGGCCTGAAGCAGGCCCAGAGCGCATGGGATCCCTTCCATCCCAGAAGTGCCAATGGTTCATTCTCAAAGGAACAGACGTATTCCAGGTGTGGATTTGCCTTTCCTCCCCATGAAGTCCTGGTCAGCACCGCTCACCGAGGGCTTATGGAATATTCGATCCACTATCATAGAATTCCAAAGAAATATATCAGGTCAGGGGCCAACTTAAAAGCGTAAGTGTCATGGGAATAGGCCCAGGGCCATGGTATTAAGGGTCATGTCCTGTGCTGTACCTGATACATGAAATGCTTGCCCCATAGAGTATTGGGGCAGTCTGCTGCAGGCACAGCTGAAGCTGAGGGCGATGCTCTGCAAAGATAGGGTGCCATTCTCCAGGACATAGAACATTCATTGAATCAACATAACAGCAGTGGTGCGCCACGGGTATTTGGAATTATGCTAGGATGGATAATATGGATTACTAGTATGGGTGACTATCTTAAAATAATTTCAAACTTAAGAGGAATTGCAAGAATAGTGCAAAGAACTTTTTTGCCCTGAGCTATTTAAGAGTATGTTGCCCTGGCACCCATGAGAATACCTTACTGTGTGTATCTCCTACAATCAACAACATCCTTTTACGTAAGTACAACACAACCATCAAAACCAGGACGTGTTACTACAATCAAACCCCCAGAGACCATTCAAGTTTCACCAATGATCCCAAAAATGTCCTTGCAAAAGAAGCCAACCCAGGATCACCCTGTTTTCGGTTTTCATCCCTCTTTGGTTTTCTTTATTCCGGAATATTTCCTCAGTCTTTCCTTGACCGGTACAACCACTTTTGATGGTGACAGGCCAGGTGTTTTGTAGACTGTCGCTTGATCTGAGTTTGTCTGATGTATTGTCATGTCTAGATTCAAGTTATGCACTCTGGCAGGGATATCTTCCTGTTGCATCTTATCAGGTGATGCACAATTTCAATTTGGTGCATTACTTGTGATGTTAACTTTGATTACTTGATTTACTTGATGAAGATGGTCTCTTCCAGGCTTCTCAGCACTCAGAATCTAAGATCTCAATACCAAGTAGACTTCTTGCTTCTGCATTGTTGTTCCCAGTCTTTCTTCTTTCTCAGTGGACAGATCAAGGGAATATATGTTTTAGATATACATACATACACTTATACATACATTATTACCTATTTATTATATTAAATGAAAACCATTCCAATTCCAACCCAACACCACAGGGTTTTTCTGGTTTCTCCATTACTTATTTGTCCTTTCGTTTCTGATAGTGAGAAAATTGGTTCCTATTATTCCATGATCCTTGACATATTTACTTATTTGATCAATCCCTTTGTATCTTTTTTTTTTTAAGATTTTATTTATTTGTCAGAGAGAGAGAGAGCACAACAGGGGGAGCAGCAGAGGCAGAGGGAGAAGCAGACTCCTTGCTGAGCAAGGAGCCCAATGTGGGACTCGATCCCAGGACATTGGGATCATGACCTGAGCCGAAGGCAGATGCTTAACTGACTGAGCCACCCAGGCGTCCCCCGTTTGTATCTTCTGTGTCACCACTGTCCTGCCCCTCCCTGAACTTTCTCCTTACCTGGCTTAGACTCTGATATCCTAGCTGGGTGGCGACTGCCACATCCCCATCCCACTATAGAAAACTTCCTTGTGCTTGGGCTCCAACACCTCACTGTTGACCATCACCAATCTACCTCTCCTCACCAGACTTCCTCCTCATTCTGCTTGGGCTTCGATACTCTGAGCTGAGTCATGAAATGGGATTTTTATAAAGCCAAGGGATTAAGAATGTGCACTATAAGTTCTGACTGTGATGAAATCAGCCATATGTCTTTGTTTGGCATGAGGACAAAATTAACAATATTCTGTATTTATGCTAGAGTTCTTAAAGTACCAACTACATTTCAGCATTTAATCTACTTGGCACTTGTTTTTATACATGGTATAAAATTGGGGTCTAGTTTTTTTCCCTGGTAGATAACATCAGCACCATTTATTATATATTCATCCTTTTATCACTGAATTTCACCTTTCATGCTTCTATCCTTTAAACACATTGCTATTCCTGGATTTTCTAGTAGTTACACTGGCTCATTTGTCTCTTCCTATGCCAATTTCATATGGGTTTTATGGTAGCTTTACAGCATCTTCCAATATTTGGTAAGCTAAGTGTACCTTTAGTGTACTTCTTCCTACATTATTGGCTATTCACAGGTACTTTATTCTTTCCAAATGAATTTTAAGATAATCTAATCCAATTAAAAAGAAACCAGGAGATACTGGGAATGAGCCCCAACCCTTGGAAGAACAAGGAGTTCTGAAGGGATCTCCCTCAAAAGGGGGCCGTGGTCAAGGCGGGGAAGCTGGGCCAGGAGCCAGCACCCAGAGAGGGTGGTGGGAGTGAGCACAAGTCAGGTCCCAAGGTGCACGTGGTGCACTGCCGGCACACAGATGACCAGTCCTCGACGGTGGAAGCCCAACATCGAGGTGTCGGCAGAGCCAGCTCCCTCTGAGACTCTGGGTGGCATCCTTCCTTCCCTCTCTCCAGCTTCTGGCGGTGGCCAGCGATCCTCAGCATCCTTGGCTTGCAGCGGCGTGGCTCCAGTCTCTGAGTCTGTCCTCACTTGGTGTTCTCCCCGTGTGTCTTCCTGGGGCACTTTCGTCTTCTTCTGAGGACACTAGTCATATTGGATTAGGACCCACTCCCATGACCTCCTCTTAACTTGATTACATCAGCAAAGACCCTATTTCCCTATAAGGTCACATTCGCAGGTGACCCTGAAGATCAGCCAGCTTTGGAAGTCACTGATCACGAATTGTTTGCAACTGGGAGAAATGTCCCAGCATCACCTATGTGCACAGATTATCCTAAACTAGATATTACTGGAATGTTTCCATTTATGTTAAAATTTCTGGGTGGGATGCGTTATTTCTATTCTCTAGCTAAGCCAACCTGGGGATTCTAAGTTCTTAAAATACTTACCCTTCATTTAACTTGGTGTTGGCCTGGATGTCTCTGATGCCCCGGACCAATTTAATGTGTGCAAATAAAAGGAAGGAATCCATTAAAAAAAAAAAAAAGAAAGAAACCGGGTGGAAAATTAATTGAAATTAATTTTATATAAATTTATGGAGTTGACCTTTTTGTGACATTAAGTCTTCATATTCTAGGATAAAACAATGAGCCCATACAATGCTTATTCATTGTTCAGATCTTGTTTCATTTATTTATCCAACAAATATTCTTGAGCACCTACTACTGGCTAAGCCCTATTCTAAATGTTGGGGATACAACAGTGAACAAAACAGACAAGTTTCCTGCCTTTTTAAAGTATACATTCCAGCAGGGCAGACAGGTAATAAACAAACACATAATATACATAACAAGTAAATATGCAATGTGTCACACGGTGTTACATGCTACGACAAAAAAAAAAAAGAATCCAACTGAGGGGGCGCTATAGAATGATGGATGTCTCTTTTTTTTAATTTAGGGCAATAAAGTGATATGGTGACGTTTGTGCGCAGCCATTAAAGAGTAACCCGCGCGGTGCAGGTAGAAGAGGTAGTTTCTGCCAGGGCGCGCGCATGCGTGGTGTGTTACACCGGCAGAGGAAGGCTAAGCAGCCCAGCATGGCCGGCATGGAGTAAGGGTATATGGGTAGGAGGGGAAATGAAGACATTGGCTTTAGCTCTGACTGAGAAAGAAAGCTGCTCCTGAGTTTTGAACAGAAGAGTAACATGATCTTGATGAAGGTTTTAAAAGATCATTCTGGGGGCGGCTGGGTGGCTCAGTGGGTTGAGCCTCGGACTCATGATCTCAGGGTCTCCACATGGAGCCCCCGGGTGAGGCTCCACACTCAGGGGAATGTGCTTCTCTCCTTCCTCTGCCCGTCCCCACGCTCGTGCGCGCAGGCATGCACTGTCTCTCTCAAATAAATAAATCTTTAAAAAAAAAAAAGATCATTCTGGTGGACAGGTGGGGAAGGAGGGAGACCCATCAGAAATCCCTTAGGATAATGCTTGCCTGAGGCGATGGCTTGGACACGGTGGAAGTGGGAAGAAGTGGGGGGGTTCTGAGTGGCCTGACTGAAGTGCCACCGTAGTCCACCAGGGGGCAGTACACACGTGTCTTGAAGGGACCAAGCCGTGACAGCCGGTCCTTCTCCCTCCCATAATGATAGTTTGTGATTATCTTCCTATATAACAGCCAACCCTTACCCTTTGCTGCTAGAACTTACATTTTATTTGGGACTGTGGTATGCCCAGCCTTAGGGGATGAATCATGACGGTATAAGCACCATTTCCATCTCCATGATGGCAGTCACCTAATGTCATAACCATCAGCCCCACCTTCTATACATGTACAGGCATCAACTAGCGTATTCATGTAGTCTGGGAAAGCAGGTTTGCTGAGTGTGACTAGGAGCTCCTTTCTTTGCCATTATTTCTTATGGGAACATTGTCTTTTTAAACCTGTAACGTTGAAAAGAAAAAAACAACATTTTAAAAAAATTTAATTCACGGACATGTGAAGAAAATTTGCAATGTACAAGAGTTTACAGCAGTGCTGTCCAATAAAACTATAATGTATAGTTTAGAGCCACATAGGTAATTTGAAATTTTCATTTACACACATAACCAAATTTTTTAAAGTAAAAGGAAACAGGTTGAAATTAAGTTTAATAATGTATTTTATTTAATCAACTATATAAAAATATTATCATTTCAAAATACAATCGATATAAAATATACTTAATATTTTACATCCCCTTTTTCATACAAAGTCTGAAATCTAGTGGATATTTTGCGATTATAGCACATCTCAGTTTGGACTGGCCACATTTCAAGTACTCAATACCCACCCGTGGCTAGTGTCTGCTGTATTGGACAATGCAGGCTTACAGAGTATGCAAGAACATCTTATCCCCCCATTCTTCTCTCTCTCTCTCTCTTTTTTAAAGATTTTATTTATTTATTTGAGAGAGCGAGAATGAGAGAGAGAGAGAGCACATGAGAGGGGGGAGGGTCAGAGGGAGAAGCAGACTCCCTGCCGAGCAGGGAGCCCGATGCGGGACTCGATCCCGGGACTCCAGGATCATGACCTGAGCCGAAGGCAGTCGCTTAACCACCTGAGCCACCCAGGTGCCCTCTCTCTTTTTTTTTTTTAAGATTTTATTTATTTGACAGAGAGACACACAGCGAGAGGGAACAACAAGCAGGGGGAGTGGGAGAGGGAGAAGCAGGCTTCCCGCCGAGCAGGGAGCCCGATGCGGGGCTCGATCCCAGGACGCTGGGATCATGACCTGAGCCGAAGGCAGATGCTTAACACTTAACGACTGAGCCACGCAGGTGCCCCCCCTTCTCTTTGTTTTATTATAGATGCATCCCACCCTCAAGTTTAACAATGCATATGAATGCCCAGCTGGAGACACCATCTCCCAGCCTCCCTAAGAGTTGTGTGTGGCCATGAGGCTTCATTTTCTATTACAGTGTAAAAAGCTACTACAAACTTAGCAGCTTATAACAACACCACTTATTGTCCCAGAGTTCTGTAGGTCAGAATTCTGAGCTTGGTTGTTTTCTGTTCAGGGTCCCACAAGGCCAAAATCAAGGTGTCAGCTGGGCAGGGCTCTTGTCTGGAGGCTCCCTTGTCTGGAGGCTCCAGGTAAGAACCTCCTTCTAAACTCATTCAGGCTGTTGGTAGAGGCCAGAGCCTTGTGGCCATGGATCTGAGGTCCCATTTCCTGCTCTCTGTTCCTTGAGGCTGCCTGGACCCCTCCTCTTGTGGCCCTCTCCATCTTTAAAACAGCATCAGTACAGCAAGTCCTCAGGCTTTGAATCCTTGACTTCCCCCTCTGCTCACCAGAAGGAAAAAGCTGTGCATTTAAAGGGCCTGTGATTAAAGTAGGCCCACCTGGGTAGCCTTCTTTTTGCTATATAATACAACACGACCACAGGATGAGATTGATGTGGGAAATAAAAGCAGAAGAAAAATTATTAAATTTCCTTACTACCTACAGCCCATTGACAAGTCCTTGAAACAGGCAGAGTGACATTCCTCTAGGGACACAACTGCCTCAATGTTAATACTTTGTTAAGGGCAAAAGGCAATCCTAGCCTGACTGGAACCGCAGGATCCTCTAAGTCTACTTTAACGTGTAAGAAGTCCTTTAGAAACTTCCTTTATCTCTAAACCCTCCAAGATATGTGTTGGCAATCATCCCCCAAGCATACGGCCCACCGATATACATCTGAGGGGTCTAACCACTAAGGTTTTAGCAGATGGTAACAAATGACCCTTTTCCAACAATAGCTAGCCCCCTCAAGGTCCTGGAAACCTTGCTTCCAAAATTCCTTAGAGACTTATGCACTCCCTAACCCCCTCCCAACTTGAAAGTATATAATAGGCCGCTCCTCATGACCCCAGTGCGGCTCTTTCTGCCCACGGGTCCTGTCCCCGGGCTTTAATAAAACCACCTTTTTGCACCAAAAATGTCTCAAGAATTCTTTCTTGGCCATTGGCTTCAAACCCTAATAACGTCTTTCCCACATCAAGATCATACCCACACTCGAAGGGGAGGGATTTCACGGGACATTGAAGGCATTCTTAGAATCCGGCCTCCTATAGCATGTGACTAAATGCCAGGCAATAGGAAGTTAATGGCAACTCTATCCTTCCAGCTGCTCAGGGCAACGTTTTGGGTGTCATCCTTGTCCTCTTGCTTTTCCTTACACCTCACTGGTGTTAAAAAACAAAATTTAACCAAGTAATCTTAAAGATCTTACTGGCTTTATTCAGCAATTCATAAATCAGGCAGCATCCCATCTAGCAGGAAGAAAGGAGCTCCAAGTTGCTCTACAAAGTGAAAGACTTATAGGCAGAAGGGAGTGGGAACAAAGACGCTCTACCAGCAAAAAGGGGATTGGGGTGGTGAGGTCACTTTCCTTTAGGGGATGGCCGGGGCCTATCAGGCAGATTACCTCACTAGTGCAGACCGGGTGATTCCTGATCAATTGATTTAAGATTCCACTTCTGGGAGAGGCCAAAACTATAATTCAGTTAAGTCTCGTTTTGGTGACATGGGGCTTAGCGTAAGTGACTCCATGTTGGGTCTGTTGCCTTGTTTTTAACACTGGTCAGTCATCAAATTCTGTCAGCTCAACTTTCAAAATACACTCAGAATATAACCACTTCTCATCACCTTCCCGGTGCCCTAGCTTGGGCCAGCCATCATTACCTTTCACGTGGATTACTGCAGTAACCTCCTAACTGGCCTGGCCTCAGCCATCTTTTCTCAGTAACCCATGTGGTCCTGGTACAACCTATGCCAGACCATGTAGTTCCTCTGTTCAGCACCCTTCATTGGAGGCCCATTTTTTTTTTTTAAAGATTTTATTTATTTATTCATGAGAGACAGACAGAGAGAGAGAGAGAGAGGCAGAGGGAGAAGCAGGCTCCCTAGGAGCAGGGAGCCCGATGCGGGACTCGATCCCAGGACCCTGGGATCATGACCTGAGCCGAAGGCAGACGCTTAACCATCTGAGCCACCCAGGCGCCCTTGGAGGCCCATTTTGGAATAAAAGCCAAAATCCCTAATATGGACTAGTCCAGACTGTAGTCCTTGTGAGGCTGTACTTTGGTCTCCTCATTAGCTCCTGTGACCTCAAATCCTACCATTCTTCCCTCTGTCTCTTCACTGCAGCTTCACCGGCCTTCTTGTCAAAAAGTCCTCTAAGGCTTTTGCATCTGATCCTCTCTGTGCCTAGAACGTTCTTCCCCAAGATACCTGCATAGCTAGCTACAAACACACACACACACACACACACACACACACACACACACACACACACACAGGGGAGATTTCATATTCCCCTACCTTGCTTAATTTTTGCTCTGTAGTACTTTTCATTATGTAACATATTACATATTTTAAATCCGTATCTTGTTTGTCTCTCCCACTAAAATGCAAATCCTTCAGAACAGGGATTCTACCCTCCCCCCACTTTTGTTCATTATTGTATCAAGCTGGCACATGGTAAGTACTCCAAATTGTTTGGTAAGAATAGCAACATCAGAGGGAGATGACAGGAGTCAAAGCATCATAAGGTCCTTAGGTCCTTTGGAAGGAAGGCAGTGATGTTAACTTTAGACTTTGCTAAGCTAAATGTGCGTGCTACACTGTTCGCGGTTACCACTCAGAGAACAGAAATAGAACTGTGACTTCAACGTTCAGGAAAAGGAATGGGCAAAAGAGAATATTTGAGTAAACCAAAGGAAGGCAGGACTGAAGAAGAAACAGCAAAATGGATATGATAAAAGGAAAGCACAGAGCTCCCTGATTCCTGTAGAATAATGGCAGATGCCTAAATCCCTTCACAATCCTCGTGAAACCACACAGATCAACAATGACAGCAAATGAAATCACCCCAGCCCTCACCTACAGCATCCTAGGAGACAGAGAATACCTCACACTTCAATTTACATGTAAATGGACAGATAAATATCTGGAAGTCAGCTCCAGAGCTCACAGCAGAACTGGGGCATCGTGGGGGTGGGGGGTGGAGGTGGGGGAGTGGGGGTTAGGGATGGTGTGTGGAAAAGAGAAGTACAGCTGGTCCTAGAGGAGGCCTATACCAACACCATCAGCTCCAACTAGCCTCAGAAGTAGAGGGTTTGATCCCACGACGGGAGATACCAAGGACAGTCTGAGACCTGGTGGATCAGAACACTGGCTACTGGGTAATCGAAAGGCACATTCGTGAAAATGGGTGATTCATTAGGTCACAAAAGAAAATCTCAGTAACTTTATTTAAAAAAAAAGATTTTATTTATTTATTTGAAAGAGAGAGAGTGAATGAGAGAGAGGGAGCACAAGTGGGGGAAGAGGCAGAGGGAGAGGGACAAGCAGACTCCCCACCGAACAGGAAGCCTGATGTGGGGCTCAGTCCAGGATTCTGGGATCATGACCTGAGCCAAAGGCAGCCACTTAACCAACTGAGTCACCCAGGCGCCCCATTAGTAACTTTAAGAATAACAATAATGTAAGCAACATTCTCAGATCACAAGTCAAAAAAATTATAATAACAAAATTAAGAGCAAAAAGATCCCTCCACGGGAGGCTGGGTGCCTCAGTTGGTTAAGCCTCTGCCTTCATCTCAGGTCATGATCTCAGGGTCCTGGGATCGAGTCCTGTATCGCATTCCCTGCTCAGCGGGGAGCCTGCTTCTCCCTCTACGCCTCCCCCTTGCTCATGATCTCTGTCTCTCTCTCTCAAATAAATAAATAAAATAAAAAAAACAATAAAAAAGATCCTTCCACCAATTAAAAAAACTGTATTAAGCACATAGGCCAATAAGGCAATACAAACCAAAATCACAGAATTTTATGAAATAGCAGTTATGAAAACAGCTTATCTGAAGCTATAACATACTGCAAAAGCAGTTGTTAGAAGAAAATATATTACATGAGTTAC